AAAAAATAATTCAAACAAAATGAAAAAAAACAAACAAAACGAAACATATAAAACAAACAAAATAAATAAAATTGAACAAAACAAATAAAAACCAACTGACAGTAAATTTGAATAAAAATAATAAAAATGAATAATAACTCAAATAATTAATAATTCGATTTTGTATTATGAATAGAAATCATGCATTAATTTAATATTAAAATAAAAAAACAAACAAACAACCAACTTTTATTGCAAGATAATTAATTTTGTTCATTTGGTGGTGTTAATGATTGAATTGATCACATAATAGTAGCCAATTTAAAACGTCATTGTTTTTAAAGAATTTACTCAAATAATATCACTCATATTTATATACTTTAAAGTTTATTTCTTTTTTTTTGATAAATAATAATTCATCCTTTGTTTATTTGTTTTAGTAGATTCAAATAGATTTATTAGATCAAAATGGTACAGCCAAATTTCAGAGAACCAATTACATGAAAACACACATAATGAATATATATAGCTTGTGCCTAGGTCTTGTAGAACATGCATGCGAAATTTCTTGTTTCCTGATTTTCTGTCATTATTATTTTAATTGAAATTCAATTATTCGAAAAAGAAAAAGAAAGTTATAGTAATAGTAATAGTAATAGGAAATCAAACTTTGCACGCATAATTTATAGGGCCTAGTACTAGGCCACAAACCACATATTCAAACTCGTTATTCCGTTTAAAATTAGTATTATATAGGTTTAACAAGAATTACAGAACGTTTATTAAGTATTGACACATAAAAAACAATTACATTCCAAATAGTGTTGTGTTGTGAACAATTATTTGTTTGAATGAAGGAACAAGAACAGGTAACAAAAGTTTAACCCATGCAATTGTTGATTAATCGTGAATTTGATAACGTAAAAATAAATGTTGGTCTGATTCGTTTTGTCAACAATCACTTCACCAACAGTTATTTCGTTAACAAATGGTTCGAATTTAATAAGTTGGAAGCAACCATGCAACAAACCTTTGAAATAGTCTAATAAATTAAATTGTACTACTCGAAAATGTATTTAAAGGGCTGGTTTTCGACTTGGTTGAAGAATAACTCTCTTCCCAACTCTTCTCTTGACCATACCTCTCGATACAATCAAAATAACCTTAATATAATGAATGTCAACGAAATGATTGTAAATACAACCAATATTTAAGATATACTTTCTTTTAGTGTGCTGACATTTTTTTTGATTTCGACTTGAAGATTGGCACCTTTGTAGACAATGATTGCGATAACCATGTTCACGCGTGAATACAATTATTCAAATTAGTATAGTTAGTGTAATCACAATTACGTAATTGCAAAAAATGTTTGTAGATGGTTTTCTAGAAGTAACAAAGTCTCTTGGAAGGTGACGATCGGTTATTATGTAAACTAAAAAAGGCAATTTACACCATAAGATGAAGTTTTATTATTCAAAGAATACTGATTTCGTGCTTGATATAGTGGTAGTATCAGATTGTCTCTGGACGTGAATGCTATGATAATCGTCAACATTTAACATGAATGCACTTTTTGAATATTTTGTGTAAGTGCATTCTCTACATATTTCTCATGTTCATCTGCAACTTTCTTCTTTTTGCGACCTACTACTCTTGATGTTGCGGTTGCTCCAAGACTTGTACCTACTTATACCTACCGAATCTAAATAGAATGCAAGATCGGACTTAAAAGAGTTAATTTTTGTATTATTTAATGATACATATGAACACTATTAATCTCTTTCATATAGTCCATTGTTTGTTCATTACGTTCAAATGGCCGAGCTGTTAAATAGAGTTGGTCAAAAACCTCTTCAAGCTTGGTTCTATTTCTTGGAACAATCTTCGTATTTCATCAAAATCATATATAGAACCTGCTTTATTTGAACATTCTCTTTCATAAAAGATTTTGATCATCATATTCATGTTTGTTTCGTCAACGTTTTCAGTTGTGCATTTTATCTTCTGTTTTTTTTTTTTTTTTTTGATCTTATTTCATGTTTGTCTATTAACATTTTCAGTTGAAAACCTTTTTATCGTTGATATTAGTAATGGCAACATTTAATCATTATAATCAAGATCTTTTACCACTTCTACCTGTTGCTTCCGTTGTTGCTGTTGATAAATGGAGGAAAACGTGTTTGTGAAGAGAAAGTTGACAAGGAAGAAGATAATAATACCGAAGATATTCATGGAGAATTCGTTGTAGTTAATGGTGACGATGGTAATAAATAAACTGTGAAATAATCTTGATTCTATACTCTTCAATCTTTTAGTGATGGAGGCAACTTTTGTGTTTTTTCTAAAAAATTTTTTTTTTGTGCTGTTGGATGATGAATTCCTTGGATTTAAAATCAAACAACCAACGAAAGTAAAAAATTTGTTCCCAAAAAATTATTTTATCCTAATGATAATTCCATTATCATTGTATATGTCATTGTCATTGTCATTGTCGTTGTCGTTGTCGTTGTCGTTGTCGTTGTCATTGTCGTTGTCATTGTCATTGTCGTTGTCATTGTCATTGTCGTTGTCATTGTCATTGTCCTTGTCCTATTCTTTAATTCTTAAGAAATCAGTTCATTCTCATGAAACTCTGATTTACTTTTTGGGATATTCTTCGGTTAGACCGGTTTTATTGGTTTATTTATTTTAAACGGTAATGGTGATCATCACAGAAATTTCCAAAAATCGTTATGGAGTTAAAAGATTCAAATGTCAGTTTTTTTTTATAGTAACATGTTTTAGATCGGTTGATGTGAGCCACATCAACGTTAACGTATCAAGTTCACGTTTTACAGATAACAGAATGTCTCATGCACATCTTAAATTTCATTGGGCGAATTCAATTTTACAAAACTTAAATACGTTTTTTTTACACAATCATCAAGGAGGGGAACAGGCGACCATTATCATTGTTGCTGTTGTCAGTATTATTATTTATAACATTTGTTATTATTGTTGTTGGTGTTATTATTTATAATGATTGCAACGATTGCAACCCATTGTTATTCTCAACTTCCAATCTTTTATATTCTTCTAAGGCTTGCTCTAGAGACTTTTAGCTCGGAATAGTCAAATCTCAAGATGTGCAACTTATCCAGTGAAGTGGCTCGGCTCATTACAACCTTCAGCAAACATGTTTTCGTCAACATTTAGCGTTATGTGTGGTAAGGTCATCACTTTCATAGACATTCGTGGTTTGGATCAAGGTGACCTTAATATTGACACAATAGATACATTCTTTATTGGGGGAAAAAAAATACACGTATATAAACACATGTGTTTCTCATAAATACATATTCTTCGTCATCTTCATAAACGTATCTTCCGAAAAACAGGACAATAGAATTTTCGAAATGAGTTGATTACTGGTGGGAAATCCTTTGAAAATAATATCTCTATAAATTTGACTTCCTTTAGCACTCCTGTATGTAGAGTTTCCATTAATAGACCTGCTGAGGAACTGCAATTCAAATGTAACAGAAGGAAGTAAAAATTGAAGTCATTTTTGATAATAATTGAGAAAATAAGATGACGATGATAATGATAGTGATATTTTTGATAATTATAAAATATAAAGATAGCAATCAATACATGTGTTTTGAAACAAATAATAGTAAAGATAACAGTAAATGTAATAATTAGAGAGTTAAAGTTAAAAGGGTCAGTTGAGATGACAAGATTTTCCTTTTTAAGCATTGCGCCTTCCCAATTTAGCATTAGAATGACAATTAGGATCGTCTTTTAAAAGTCATAATAACACGAGTATTTTAAACATCGACATAATATTTATTTTGTTAATTGATCGAAAAAGCAACAGTTCAATCATAAAGAAATTAATAGGTTTGTTAACCGAAAAGTAATGGTTTATTGTTTGCTAAGATAATTGATAAAAAAAACAATTGTTTTCTAACATCCCTTTCCTTGATTGGTCAAAAAGGTAATAGTTCTTTAAAATATAACGATTTTACCTTGGTATAATAGACATAAAAACAATAATGCATTTTTTGTCTTCATGGCAAAAAAAAAAAATTGATCCTTTCTTATTCTTGTAAATAATAATAATAATTATTAAATTCATGTTAGTTTTAACACAGAAGAAGATAGCAGAAAAAATCAAGCACAAGCTAAAAGACTAACAGGAGAAAAAAAAAGGAAGATTTTCAGGTGTCATTGAAAGCAGAAAGGATTTACGACTTTGGAAAGAAAATAAATTGATCTGCAAGTCAAATTTTACACAAAAAAAAAAAAATCAAGTTTAACAAAAGTTTGATTTTCAACATCTCCTCAACGTTAACATCAACATACCATGTCGACTTCTCTCATCTCTTCCCGTCATGATTATATCATGACATAGAAGTATAATCACAACAACGCAATAAACTTCGTGAAACTGCAAATTCCTTTTTATAGATAAAAATACCAAAAAGACATTAAATCATTTTTAAAAAAAAAAATCCAAAAAAATCAACAATTAACCCTGAAATAGAGATTGAACGTTTGCACTTGATTTGATTTCGTTGATTTCTCACTATTACATTAATATTAACGTTAATAAATTACGGGGATCTAAATTTTTGACAGTCCCTTTTAATCATGTGATTTATGGTGCTTGACCCAAAGATATTTATTTATTTATGAATTACCAGTATTATTAATCAATTATGTAAATCTATTGGTCTCGTAAATGTACTCCCCGCCTTAAAATAAATATAATATATTAAATATTAAATAAAGTCTATTACATTACAAGTCAACCAGTCGGTAATTCTATCTAGCAACTGATGTGACTTGGCAACTATTTGTACACATTAATAAACAAGAAAAAATATTAATTAATTAAAGGAATTCAAAGTCAATTTTGTTTTTTGATTTTTATATTATTTTGTCTAGTTTTGTTGCAAGCATGACCCATATATTTATTTATATGTGGTATTAGTTTGTGTTCAATATTGTAATGTTGGTTTTTAAAAAAAATATTACCGGAGGTAAAATCTTTTTTTTGGTTTTTTTTGGTTACTAGTATCATCAAAAGGTTGTTGCCAATCGAAATCAACTAAATAACAACCAGTCACAGGACGATGATCAGAAAATCCTATAACATTCATATGACTTGTATATTTCACAGGAATGACCTTTTTACCATCTAACATCGTTTTCCAAATGATTCTATCAGTCCAACTTGGTACACGTTTTTTTGGACTTGTGTCATATTGTGTATGATCAAACGTGATTACTGAAGGTGCAGAAGCATGACGTTTTAAAGGTTGTTCATGAGAATTATGACTAATTCGATGTGTAATATTAAATTTAAATGTTGGATTAAATGAAATTCGATCTTCATGAAAACCATCAAAATAAGCAAAACTCTTCATTTCACGGCTCAATTGATCATGTTCCAACAGTTTCTAATAAAATAACTTTTAGTTAATAAAAAATATATAATGAACATATATATATATTATTGTTATCATTATTTCCTTACGGTAAGTTCATGTCTAAGAATTAATTCGTCAGCTTTTTCTCTAGACAAATCAACACGATAATTCATGTCACCAAACCAAAAGGTGTGATCAAAACGATCAGTTACATTATTGATGTTAACTAGAAAAATGAAAATAAAAAAACTATATAAGGAAATAAGACTCAAATTAAAGATTATGATAAATGAACAAAAAAAAAATCGTTTTTGATATATCAAATTAATTAATTCAAAAAAATAAATTAATTAACTAATAAAATAATATTTTATAAAAACCTTTATATTCAGGTCTAAAACCTTTTAGTCTCATTTCTTTGGATATTTTTCTTACATCATTATTTCGTTGTTTAACTTTATTTTGGTGTGCTATATATATTTCCATCACAAAAAAATTATACTAAAAGATTCAATAAATTGCCAATTAATCTATTTAATTTGATAAAAATTGAATGCTTACCAGCTAAATGACAATTTATAAAACAAAATGAAGTATCACCAAATAATAATGAAATACCAACACCGCCTTTATTACCAAATAAATTTGCAAACCCTGTTGCCACTTCAGCATGTTGATAATCTAAGAATGATTATTTAAATATTAATAATGATTGTTTGTTTTGTGAGATATAAATATGTAAAATAATAATTACCTTTTACCAATTTTTCACATCTTTTCCATACAAATACACTCTATATATATATATATATATATATATATATATATGATATCAAGAAATTAATTTAATGAATGATTTTATAAAACATAAGAATATTTGAATTTATTTATTAATCTACCAAATGTATAGCCGCCATAGATTCTGTCTTGATCAGTACATATTCATCTTTTAAATAATCTTTCAAGCGTGCCTCCCATTCATGTTTTGAAGGAAAAAGTACAGTATTTTTAATATTATGTTGACATTCTTGTGTTCCAATAACTAAAATATGGTAAGGATGTTGAGCTTTACCATTTAAACAATAAGGATGCCGGGAATTTTTCGGATTAACTCTTTCACGAATAGGAACTTGTTGTATAAAAGGTTGAAGTTGATGAGGTGGTAACTTTAAAAAATAATAATAATAAACTTAATATTGATTCATTAATAATAATAACGTATAATAAAATTTGATTACTTTTCCATGCATATTCCAAGTTCCAATAAAAATTTTAAGCTTTGCTAGTTCAATACCATCTTTTGGTTTTTGTGGTTTTTGTTGTTTTTGTTCTGTAGCTCGATTAAACGGCCATCTAAGCCATTCGAAAATATTTAACATTCTTTGTATCAGCGCTTTAATTCTTTCAAGAAGAAGGTCGTATGGATTTTGAATGTTTGGTTTATTATTAGGTAACTCATTATCTGATGTTTCTGTAGAAATAATTTAAAAGAATTAATAAATACTTGATTAATTATAATAGAAAAAACTTCATTAGATAACAAATTCGCAATTTTTATATTACCGTCTTCCCTAAGGATCATTTTTAATCAAAAATAATAAAATAAAATAAATAAAATAAAAAAAAATGTTGATAAAAAAAATTTGTGCATACACGCATACAGTCTGCATCGAAATTTACCTGTCCTTCGCACTTGCGCTTATCAAGAAGCACGCTTCTGACTCTTAAAAGAAATTTGCTTATGCGAGGCACTGTAGTTCAGAAAATTTTAGCAAAAAGAGAAAAAAATGAGATTAATTTGAGTTTATTGATTGAACAAAGAATATTATTTATTATTTATTTACAGTATATATATATATATTAGGGGGAAAATCGATCAACATAAATACATCTGTCTTAATTTGTAATTCGTGACCCTAATACTAATACTAACCCCTATTCGAATATTCGAAAGCTTTTCATTTTGGATATTCGTAGTAATGGTAACACTCTCGAGTATTGTATGTATATTAATATATATTAATGAGTTGTAAATTTATAAACCACATGACAAAATAAATTTGGAGCAAATATTACACTGGTATATAAGGGATTTTTATTAATTACAAACTATAATCATATAACTTGAAATACCAAACTCCTCTTTTATTATTGTTAATTTCTCTCTATAATGAACGTCTCTATTACTTCATATACTATAGTGAGCACAAAAGATATATGAAGAAGTTTCATTATAGAGAGAGTGAACTGTATTTATTATTCCAATATAAATATAAACAAAGAAATTTAGTAATATATTGTCCAAATTAACTGTAAAAAAAAAATCATTTTTTTGCCGATCAACGGTAAAAATTTTTAATCTCCACACTTGCCAAACTTAAAAAGTTTGCATATCAATAATTGGCATATGAATATATTTAATATATTATTACTCAAAAGACAACGTTTTATAATATCTCCTTTTTTAGAAGGATCATCGCATTTTTTTACAGTTAGCGTTACACTTTACTATGACGAATTTTTGCTTCACATATTAATATTAAAAAAGTGTTCTTTTTCAAATTGTTTATTTTTGTTTTGAATTCAAATTTAAGTAGTTTAAGTACAAATATATATAGATCAACAATAAAATTAATAACAGTAGAATCTAATACATCTTATACAATATATATATACATATATTATATGCATACTGCAACAAAAACCAACATCAGTATTACCAAGAATTTCAAAAATCAAAATTAGTCATTTGTAATTAACAGTTTTATAATATCCCATTTGTTATCTTAAGTGATATATAGAACTATCCCTATATAAAAATAGTTAATTTATATTAGATCTGCCATGGAGCCCAAGAATTATAGTACTATCAAAAGTATTTTAAAAAGGAACAAGGTGAAAAAATTGCTCTTTATATTTTCAAAATAAATGATACTCAGACACTTGAAGCTTATCTAAGGAAAGAAAGGATTACCTATGAAATTTACCAAGAAGTAAGAAAAACCATAACCAGTAAAAGAACTTTGCCACAAAATTATGAAGAATTTAATAATATAGATGAGCATGTATTTGCTATCTTTTAAAGAATAAAGATATTAAAAAAAAATTTGGTAAAAAAGAATTAGTGTGGGTTGGGTTTTACTTGCATAGGTTTTACTTTAATTGTTTGTTCTTGTTTCTTTTTTAAGTGAATTTTCTCACTTATATTTTTTGTAAACTGTATTAGTTTATTCTTTTTCCTTGGTAATGCTGCTGATAAAGTCTCGTTGGCTAAATATAATTCTTGTTTTAGTTGCCGAATTTCTTTGGCTTGTTGGTTGATTTCTTGCTGAATCGCTTGCAATTCATCTCCCTTCTCTTGTAATATCAAGAGAATACCTCGTATTTCCTGATCTTTGACTGTCTCCAACTGTATTAACCTTTCAGCTAATTGTCTTTTACTTCATTCTTCAGCTACTACCAAGGCATTTAGATGATATTCAACTTTTCTTTTTCTCTTTTCCTTTTGCGAACTTCTCTAGAGTAAAATTATAATTCCGATTTGCTTGCTCAGTCTCTTTTTTTAGTTCTCTAATTTCTTTTGGTGAATTTCTCTCAGTAATTCTTTTTGTTTTAGACTATTTTCAATGTAAATTTGGAGAGCTTTTTCTGCCTCCTTAGCTTTGCTTTCTAAATCTTTTTCAAGTTGATACAATTGTTTAGTTTGATCTATTACTTCTTTTACTTTTTATTTTTATTATTGTATTTATTGTAAAATAGTAAATTACAAATCACGGGAAACGAACATATAAATCGGAAATGATTTACATGTATCACGAAGTGAAAATTTGGAAGCAATTATCAC